TCTCCTTCATCGCCACCTCCTCAGCCCAGGAAGAGGAAGTTCAAGAGAAAGGTAGATCAACTATGTTTTTACTGCAAAAGGGACGTGCATCTGGCTTTGGACTGTCTCGAGTTTCTTGAGGATAAGGCAGCAGGGAAGATCTCARAGGTAGGGGGTAAAATGTATGATAGACAGGGTAGGATAGTAGAGAAGTCCGCAGATGGACTTAGGGCTCAGTTATATAGGCAAAACCAGGAGGAGTTGAGGAGGTAGGACCGGTTTTTTCTATATAAGTGAGCGAGCATTTTGTGAGGCATCAACTTAGGTTCTGAGTAATACCCTCTCAGACTTAGAAGACATTTTGATGATTGCTGTTAGTCTAGATCTGAGCTCTAGTGTTTCTACTGAGTAGGGATCTTGAGGATCAGGGTGAGTAAAAATGAGGCATGTACATATTTAGGTGGCCTACGCCCTGGCCTTTGAGAGACAGATCTGACATGTATTTTAGGGGTAGTTGTCAGTGTGGGTTTGGTGTGGCTTGAGTTGAGCAAGCTATGATTTGGAGACACTTTCTGTGTGAGACATTGTACTCCCTGAATGTATATTATGATGAGGTTTCCTTCAGGGACCATTCTTATATGTGACGATCACTTGTCTCTCTCACATGTGTGGTTGTACTCTAATGTATGATGAGTTTGTGTGGACAATGTGTGAAAAACCTTTTATGTATCTTGGGTATTGTGAATATGATTGTAAGTAAAACTGTCTACTCCTCGGTGTACTTGTGCGACCTGCCCACGGCAGCTGATAAGGCAGAGTATAAGGGGAGGAAGCGCAGTCCGTCTGTGAAAGTTATCTAAGTTGTGATGAGGACCCATAAGATGGTCTCTCAGTGATGTTCTGTTTTATGATGGGACCCCCTTAGATATTGGAAAAGAGGGGATGTTTTGTGATGTTTTGTGATGTAACGAAACCCCTCGTGATTTTGAGAGAGAGGGTGTTTGGTTTATGATGAGACCCTCATGATTTCTGAAAGAGGGAATGTATTATTTTATGGCGAGACCCCTCGCGATTTTTGGAAGAGGGGGTGTTTTGATTATGAAGAGAGCCCATTTTGGATTGTTGGAAAAAGGGAGTCGTTTTTTGGTTGAAAGACTCATCCTCAGAAGTGAGTAAATTGATTTATGGCATGATGAGTTGTTCGATGGGTGATAAAGTCTGACGGAAAGGGGCCACTTTTTGTTTGAAATGTTTGAGAAAGTCGCAATGAATACAGGGTGAGAGATGTCTCAGGGTGGGTGGCTGCTGGCTCTGATCAAGTCAGGGGTCACGACCTGGTGGATTTAGCAGTGATTTTGCTTGTAAGCGTACGAAGGATGTCATGCCTATTGAAGGAGGGCTGGTAAATGCCTTCGAACCTCTGCGTATCGCGCAGTGGGCCTGTGATTTTGTTTTGCGACGCCCCGTCTAGCCACATGTGCTAGTTCTGGGACATATTGAAGAGAGGCCAAGCTAACGGAAAAGAAGTTAGTACCTTTAGGGCGTAACCCCGTTGGATGGCTGCTAGCCGGCGCAACCTGGCTGCGAGACCACGGGGTAAGAGTTTAAGGGGGGTTGCCCGCCCCAGTAAAGTTACTCCGCGGGATAATAATAGTTGAAAATTTTTGGGGAAAATCCTGATTGAGTGCCTATTAGGAGAAACCCTATCGTTGCGTAACCAACGAGGGTACTGCCGTTAAATAACAATGCGGTAGGCCGTAGTCGTGGTCCGATCAACCAGGCTATGGTGGGCCACCATGGAGACCTGACCTTTCTGTACTAGACTGCAGAAAGAGCGGAGTGGATATTAAGTTACATATATACTTATATGTATTTGATTGCGAGAGATTTTGAGAAGGAAGGTGAGAGTGCCTTCAAAGGTCTCGGTTAAAGCCCGCGTCCCTAGTTTTTGCCAGGACTAGAGACACCCAACGAGAAGCCGAAGGTTGTCTAGGACCGGGGAGAGGACGCTTGGGAAGGTCTTTGGAACTTATGCTGCCAGTGTCCTAATATCTGGACGGTGTGAGGCCCATGTTAGAAACCTGGCAGCATATAGTTATGAAGGCATGGTTTGATGGAGGCCTCTACCCTGTGTTTGTCGGCTAATCGGATTGGCTCCTGTTTCGTCAGCATTTGGAATGTGGATGGATTTATAGCTTTCTGATTTGGCGAAGCGACGGGGACGTCGCTTAATATGGTCCGGTAGGCTGTCGGTGCGAATACCCTTACAAGGGTATCCGCCCTGGTTTTTGCAAGTGACAAAAAATAGTTTGGTCTAGAGTCTAAGTATACCGCGCTAAGCGCGGCTGCGTCAGTAATTGCTTTGACAGGGTGGTTGACCGCAATAGCGAGTGCGTGGGCGCGCAGGTTTAAGGCGCGCGTGATTCTTTTCTGTTATTTTATCATAAAGCCGACAGCGGACAT